TTTTTATGTCATGAAAATATTAGAAATTATAGTTTTTAATTTATTAATCTCTAATAAATAAATTTATAGCCATTTTAACTTAATTAACGAAACTCTTATATTAAAATTGACATCTTTTCTATTTATAGTTTTTATGTCATTTATTTTTCAATTTTCTAATATATATTTGTATTATATATAAAAAATAACTACAATTAACAGGATTTCTAAATTTTATAAATTAGATATATATATATATATAAATCAGTTTAAAGTCATTCAACTGATAACTTTTCAAAAATTAAAATTCCAAAACTATCAAGACGTTGTGCATTAAATATATAATTAATCCATAAAAAGTATTAAAATTGCAAAGATTTATTCTATTCTACACAATGTAAATTAGTATAACGAAAATTCGAGCAATATTAATTAAAGATAAATGAAGACAACTATATTTTAATTATATATACCGACAGGCTATATCGAACTATACAAATAGACAAACAGAAAATTTCATTTTAATCATATTTTATATTAATTGTTCCTATAGAAATTTTTTCAAGAAAATTTTTTTTGTAATGTATAAAATATATTTAAATAAATTTTATTACGATGCAATACAGCAGGTAATAAATATCATAAAATATTGTAATATAAACTAGATTCCCTTGTTTCGAGTAATGTTTTTCTGATGTGATTAACATCAAATTTTAACTTAAATTTAGTGCAAATAGCATGTATGGTTAGAAAATGAAATACAATAGTTGTTATTTTTTCTATTTTAAAATTATAACTCTAAATTTATTATTTTTCACTATTTAAACTAACATACCATTAATTAACAGTTATTTAAAAAATTAATAAAATATATAAATATTATGGATAGTTTAACGTTGAAAATTTTTCTTAATAGAAAAGCTAACGATTACGTAAGGAAGGTTCTTATTTCTGATATATATATATATATATATATATATATATATATATATATATTGTTAATAAAACTATTAATAATATAGAAATCCTTCCTTTTATTATATATATATTATATATTAAACATTGTCATCGATAATTCAATAAGCAAATAACTATTTTAGAAAATGAAATAAGCAATTTGAATTATGAAATGATTGATTTTAATCAGCTAATTATTTATAAAATTTTATAAAATATAAAATTAAACTAGATTCATAAATTATTAATTGATCTTAATATACATAGAAAATACTAATCATATACAAATAAATATGTAGGCAATGATATGTTTAACAGGATATACTAAGTAAATAATATAAAAGTTAGTATTTTAAAAATATAAGAAGTACAAAGTAATTGAAACTGAATTCTAGAAATTTTTAATATTACCTAAACAGAGCCCAATACATTGCTACATTAATCAAATAAGTGTTATTGAATAACTTGACAATTATCTTGCCTAATCCAGTTTTTAATAAGTAGTACCATGAAATTTGTTTGAGTAACATGGATGAAGAATGTTATACCTACAGTTTATATGAAGTATTACACAGTATTACATAAAAAAGGTATCATTCATCGTCAATGTTCCAATTTTTAGAAACTGAAAGAAGGAATATTGTGACAATTTTCATAATTTAAATTTCAATTTGCACATGTATTAAATAAATAAATAAATAAATAAATAAATAAATATATATATATAGAAAATTTACTCACAAGTACTTCTAGTTTCTAATTATTTACATACAATTGAGTTGAACTATTAATATATTATGCTCGTAATTTAAATGGTTCTTTCAATATTTATTATATATAAACATTATTTATACAACTAATAAACACTCTACTCCTAATACATAAATATATTTAGCATTAATTATTTATTATTTATAAAAAATTGTATCATTCAAATTGTTATTGAAAATAAATAATTGATTAAAGAAAGTATGTGCACTTTAATTATTTTCTTTTCTTAAGATTGAAATTTTGTATTCTTATTTATTACAAAATTAATTCAATATTTTGTTTCTATTTTGTTTATTCAATAGGCATTTTTATTTTTAAAACTATATATTTACGTTATGAGAACTCACGTATTAAGTGAAAATTTAGATTGAATGATATAAATTTTATAGAAATTTAATGCTTATTTATTAGGTACATATGTAGCGTAAAAAATATAGTTAGAATAAAAATATTTATCACAAGTTATTAATGCCACTAGAACATCAATTAAATATTCTCTATAGATATCAAAAATACAAGATCCAATTACTTTTGATGCAAAAATTTAATTTTCGTTGTATTCGATTAGTTTTCAACGTTAATTGTTCATTAAAATAATGGCTAATATTTAATTAAAAAATAATCTTATAATTTTCAACTAAAGAAAAGAATCACTTTGTATACTAATACGAAATAATTATATAGATATTTTATAAATATATTACTTAATGTTAATCATCTTAATAGATTATTTCAGTAAAATAAAACGAATACATTAATGTTTTACACATAATCAAGTAATCAATACTTTAATATAATGAAGAACATTTTTTGAAGAAATTGATTTATATATTTTAAAAATATTTTAAAGTATCCGACTTGCTGAATGAAATGTTTATTTTTAGTAATATTATGATGCTTATTTTTAGATTGTTCAAATTATTCATATTTACATTAAATATTTAATTAATTTCACAGAGGTTATAAAAATTTTAATATAAGAAATTCACAGTATATGTATTGTACATGGATAGTTAATAAATAATTAATATTTACAAAATTATAATTTTCAGTTGTAGAGAATAATGGTCGATATTTCATCAAGAGTAGAAGCATAATTGTTTATAATGGTATACTTTCTTGTAAACGATTAATATCAAAATAACAATAGACGTCAAAAATTTATTTAATATCTTTATAAAATTACTTTTGTTCAATTTGAATTATCATTCAATTAGTTTTTAAAAGTTATTAAAAGATGCTGTATAAAACTTATTTAAGTTACAAATATTTTACTTTCTTAAGAGAAATTGACTTTATTTAATTAGTTTTAAAGAATAATATCAAATATATATCTATATTTTTTATTAAGTGACTTAATAAAAAATTATATTTACAAATATTATTTATAAAACTTCAAATACTTAGAAGTTTATTTGCATAAAACTTAATTGATAAACATGCATGATTAAAATATAATAATTTTCTTATGAGATAATTTAAAAACGTGTTTTTAATTTAAATGATCAGTATTTTCCATGAATGTAAAGGAATCAGTCGATAAAATTTTTTTATACTTATTATATTACATATACTATTGTATGTATTTTTAACGCATTTTAATTATTTAAAATTATTTTAAGATCTTATTATCACCATAACCAAAATAAATCATAAATGAATTTTGATACCTTTAAGAGAATTCAAGGGACATTTAAAGGAATCGTAAAGAATTAAAATAATTTTTCGTGGATGTATCATGCTTAGTAATATACTAATGTACTGTAAAATACTTCTCTACCATTTTTTAAAAAATTTTTCATATATAAGATAACTTAATGACTTTTTGCCAATTTTGCTTAGTACATGAAATAAACATGTTATGCTGCGGTATAACTTCTTTTTTAAATATCAATAAAATATATAGAGTTTATTTATTGAAAATACATGAATAATAATAATAAGTTACCAAATTCTTGACCCATATATGTTTCACAAATTTATATATACAGTTAAAAAGTATACTTTTTTATTTGTTCATTTACTGTTAGAAATATTGATATTGTGCACGTGTTTTTATTACTAAAATAATTTTACAATTCATGTGAAATTCAATGGGATTTTATCGACATTTAAGCACTTTTAGAGATCAAACGAATCATGATATGAAACTAACAAAAATAATATATAAGTAAAAATATAAAATCTTCAAAGATTAATAATAGATTTTTACAAAATTTTGTTGTCTCATCAATGTAATGATTTCCTAACATGTTCTATAAAAATTCATCAACTAGATAATCCTAAAGTGATGTATTTCCAAATTAAATTAAATTGTAATTGCTTGGTCGGTAAAATTGTATTCCTACCTCACTTTGTCGCAAGTTCGGTAAAACATTAATTGTACAGGACTCGATCTATTTACATGCTTGCATTAATCGACGAATAAATAACAGATATTGATGGCGTACTAAAAAAGTCTGTAAAAATGGTTAAACATATGAATCAACAGGTAGGTTCGAATGTGGCGTTTTCCGCGGACACCCGGCGCCCCTCTACCCCGGCCACTTCACTGGCGCCAAAGGTGGTGGTGGTGGTGGTGGTGGTGGTGGGGTGGCGATGGTGGTGGTGGTGATGGTAGTGGTGGTGGTCGTCGTCGCAGTGGGCCGCGGATGGTGGTGAGGCCCCTCCCGCTGATATAAGCCGCTCACTAGGCATCGCCACACAGATAGTCACAGAGTGAGTCGAGGCGAGCAGGAGCCGGCGCGTGCGATATTCCGCTCCTTGGCTACTTCCTTCATCCCTTTTCTGTATTTTAAAATTCATCTCCCACGAATCGGCGGGCAATCGGAAGTATTTTGACGAACGAAAGTATTTTTCAACGTCCTCGCCCCCACATCGCCCGCCTCGACGACCGACCTAATACGCGCAAAGAGCTCTTTCGTTACATTTAACCTGAAAGATTCGAGTTTAACCAAGTGTTTCTAGTATATACATATATATATATATATATATATATATATATGTACATATCAACATAAGCTCGCACGCGCGCACACGTATAAATACAGATATATATTAATAAATATATATACATACATATATATATATATATATATATATATAGATATACGATCAAGTGGTGAGTTTATGGACAATACATACGTTACACTTTTCTATGGAGCAGTTTTCAGTTTTTTAAGGAGATCTAAAGAAGGAAGCCGATAAAGAGAGGAGAGAGAGATAGAGAGAGTGTGTGTATGTGTGTGTGTGTGTGCGAGGGAGAGAGGGAGATAGAGAGAGAGAGAGAGAGAGAGAGAGAGAGGGTGGGGCGAATGAGATCACGAGCGATTGAAGACACAAGTTGAGAGTAAGAGTGAGAAAAAGGAGCTGCGAGCGCGTGCACGTGTGTGATACGAAAGCGAGACTGATGGTTCTGATGTACTTTAATATGTGAGAAGAGATACGAGAAAGAAAGTGCGAGACATCGCTTTTTCCAAAAGATCCTGCACGGTAAATCAATTTAGCGATTGTATAACAGAAGTGTAATATTATCTGTCCTGAAATTCTATGTATATACAGAAATTATGTAATTTTCATTTTACTTTCTTTTATTTGAGAAAATTTTTTGATTATTAAAATTAAAATTAAGCATACTTTATTGAGCAATGTAGAATCGTGTATTATAAAATATTTTAAATTTAATTCTTCGCGCTAAGATATAAAATCTAAATTAATTATGCGGTTTAAGAAATGAATAATAAATACTCATTATGATTGATAAAATAACTTCCAATAAATGACGTGTGATTCAATTCTCATATAATTTATAAATTTCGAAAATTAATTTAATGATACAGAATGACAGATGTAAAATAGGAATCTGTAATTTTATCAATAATTATATTGTCTTGGAAGATATAAAAAGTCATAAAGGAAGGGATGGAGAGGATACGTGCAGAAACTTGTCATTTAACTCTTCTGCTAAAACAAAAGTGCGGAAGTTCATGGATGTATGCGCGTGTGGCTCGCGTGCAGTGCGCGCACGGATACTTAAAGAAAATTTGAGCGCCACACGCACACGTATAAATGCGCGCACTACTGTGAAGGTAACTAGTGAAACTTTAGGAAATTGGCGCGATTTTACTTCCAATTTGTAGTGATGAAAACGAAATGGCAAAATGATCAAATTGAAGGGACAAATTGACGAATCGTTTCTAAAATCATCGCATTCGTGTATGCATAATTTTGCCTACGTACGCGTGAACACTTAAATACGTATGTGAACGCACATGATCGCACATTTTTATATATTTGAGAAAGATCGAAAGTGAGAGTTTTTATCTTATCTGACGTTATTGTATGCAGTTCGAAAGTGATATATATAAAGTCTTAAGTATTGCTCTCTAAATTTTATCAAAATAATGCTTACATAATATGTATTTCGGATTAAATTTATTCTCTTTAATTAAACGAATGTTTTACTTAAAGTAGTTACTTCTGTATACCCATGAAATTTCTCATTCAAATAGAAACAATATACATCTAACTCTAGTCGGCAAATTTTACCTTAAAAAAATGATTTAATATTGATTAGTAATTATTCGATTACATTACAAGTAAAATCATAAAAAAGCAGTTCATGCATTTGAACGAACATTTACAATTAGTACCGATAATCGATTTTAATCGACGTTCATTTTGTCATTTATTAATTCGAACAATGAACTGATATTGTTTTTAAAATTAACTATACAATTCGTTAAAATTATTATTTTAAAAATCTTTGTGTACCAATGATATACAAGCTACCACTGTCTTTAAATATTATGGTAATATAAAATAATAAATAAATCATATTGAATATCTATTAATCTATTAATCTATTAATTAATTTAAAAGTTTCGCCGAACTAGCAACTTTGTTAATAAATTGTCGTTGTTTCCACTGATTTTTATTTAAAAAATTTTTTTTTCAAATGCTCTATATAGAAGTAGTAAAGTTCTATCGCGAAAAGTTGAACAAATGAGTCTGAAGAGAAAATCGAGGACTTAATGCATGGACGTGTAAGGAAACTCGCTCTCGATCACCAAAGTAAGCCTTGAACGAAATCAATGGATCATGTTAGGGAATTCTCATTCAATATACGAGAGAAATATTACGCATACACATTCATAAACCACTGAAATACAGATTTACAATCAGTTAAGACTAGATTAACGAAGTAGAAAAAATTTATATTTTCGAGGTGATAAATAAAGCCGCAACTTTTATTATTCATTAATACGGTAAATTTTTAATAAAGCATAAACGATTTCTTCATCGTTTTAATAATTAAATATTTTATTGATAAATTTGAAATACGTAGATCTGTAAGAAGCGATGATAGTGAAATTTAAGGTTTGATATTTACTATTAAAAGCAATCGATATAAAAATCGACTTTAATTAAATATTATAAATTTCTTAAAATAATAAAATTTTACTTGCATTATTTTATTACATTGATTGGAATGATCTCTAATGTTTTAACGTATTTGTAAAATTATCAAGTAATTGAAATAATAATGTAAATATACTACATAGCTAAAATATACTATAATACTAGTAAAAATAAGAAAAACATAATATACGAATTGCGAACAACAAGAATTCATGACTTCAAATAGTTAATGGTTATTTATGTTAAACAATTTCGTTATATATCTCTTTACCGAATGAATATAAATCAGGCATGCACGCACGCACACACACTCGTATTTACGGGTGTACACGCGCATACAAGTGAATACGCATAAACGAATATGAAAAAATATTTGGAATAGTTTTGTATTACTTAATGTAAGGAAAATTCAAAAGATATTCTAAATTCTCCAGTTGAAAGTATAGCATTTTTCTTTCATGGTGTAATTAAAGATATTCTAGAGTAATAATTTCCAAATTTTTTATAAATATCACTAGTATCCTTGAGAGATAAATCGGGATGTTAAACATGTACATACAAATAAAATGCATAAGAATCAAGGTCTACGCTACACCTCTCTCTCTCTCTCTCTCTCTCTGTCTCTCTCTGTCTGTCTGTCTCTCTCTCTCTCTCTCTATCTATCTATCTATCTATCTATCTATCTATCTATCTATCTATCTATCTATCTATCTATCTATCTATCTATCTATCTATCTATCTATCTATCTATCTATCTATCTATCTATCTATCTATCTATCTATCTATCTATCTATCTATCTATCTATCTATCTATCTATCTATCTATCTATCTATCTATCTATCTATCTATATATCTCTCTCTATCTCTCTCTCTATTTCTCGTACTCTCAAGTATCGCTCTCTTTCCATCTCTTTTTCTGCTTCTACGTACTTTTCACTATAACATGTTCACTGTTTTCGCTCTTTCAACCTTTCCCTAACTCGCTCTCCATCTTTGTATTCATGATTAACTCAACGCTCAAAAGAGCCCATATGCGTATGCGAGATTGTGAGCAGCACTAGGATAGTATTAAAGCGCAAATTCGGCCTCCGAATTGCAAAACGACCTCGATAATCGAGGATGGAGCACCGTCCGATAGATCCGTCTGGCCTATTTGTAATGTGCACGGTGTAATTGTGAGCACTTGTTTGTATTTATACCGATTCTCTTTAGCGCAATAACGTTAAAACACTTTTAAATCGCGTTTAATCGTTAAAGTTTCTATCCTTGATGCAAACGTACGCAGAGAACGCAGTCCATGACATTTTTTATATTGAAATTATATTAAAGGGGGACAAGGGATCCCATGGCTATTTTTTCATAATTATTTATTTATTAATTACATTATGCAATGCAGTTATCGTCGAGGAAGTAATAATGAGCTACATAGAAAATTATCGTACTCCCTAGATTGGAATGTTTTCAATAAACAAATCAGAATTAACGTGCCCCTGTTAAAGCAACTTTATAAAAGTAAATGGCGCATTTCAAATATTACGACAATATAGAATAACTATATTCTTTATAAAAAAAAAAAATAAATAAAAAAAAAAAACTTGAAAGTCCGTAATTGTATAATCCACGTCTAACCAATGTGTTATTTAAAATGAACATTTATTTTAATTACATACACTTTAGTGGTTAATTACAATGGCAAAATATATTTACTGGCAATTAAAACACCATAATTCATTGAATATAGACTATATCGGAGTTCATATTAATTTTTTGTCAATCGTAGCGATTATATTTTAAGCATCAAACAACTTTCAATTTACGATATATTTAAATAGACATATATCCGCACACGCGATATTTTTACAAATTTACGTAATAATACTGAAATATTAGATTTTTTTTTTTTTATTACGCTGCCTCGAAACTTATTTTTAAATTTTTACAAGACAAGTTTTAAATATTTATTCTATTTAAAAGACAACCTTATAAAAATTATATTTAGCATATTTTCATTCAAATGACATTTCATAAAAGATATTATGATTGCAGTTTAATTAATAAGGTAGTGAAATATTTGTAAAATGTTAATAGAATTTTGTATTTCATTGCACAATTACGTATTCTTCGGATAATATTTATAATTGCGAAATCTAAATTTTATTGTAATAATATTGACATCAGGTATAATAATATTAAAATACCTTGCAGAATAAATTATTAGCATATATGAATTTCAAAATTAATTACTATTTCTTATATAATCATTAAACATACATTTTTTTTTGTTTTTTAACAAAAATTATGTTAATTACAAATAAAGTGTTATTTATACTGAATAGGAAATAATTTAGGAGGATGATCCAATGATAATAAAGTGATAAAATAATTGGTAGCAGGAATTATAATGTCATTTGCATTTGCTCATAATAACAATCACTATAACTTTCTTTACACTTATAAAAGAAATTTCTTCTTTAATTTATTACATAATAGCAATTTTTGCAAATCATAGAATTTCGAGGAAATCAAGTTTATAGAAAATATGCATTATGCGCTGAAATGAATAATATTAATTGATGTCTAACTTGCTAATTACAATAAATTGAATAAAAATTTGAATAACATTAACGAGTAAAATATTTGTGAAAATTTGTAATTTTCATTCTTATATAGACAGTAGTTGCCGATGTATTTTAATAAAAAAAAAAAAAAAAGAAAAGAAAAGAAAAGAAAAACGTTTACTAAAATGTCCTTTGAAACGCACATGATCCAATTTTTTTTATGAAATTTAAATTGCATAATCGTCAAACTAGAGTTTCAAATGCCTCTTTACAACTGCCATTATTGCTAAAAAAATCCAAATTAATTAAAATATATTATATAATTTATTATGCAGAATAATCGACACAACTATGCATTAATTTATGCATATGATTTATCGCTTGCCAGTTCAAATAAACTTGATAGAAATAAGCACTCGATTACAAATTGTTACCAAATTGTTACCTACTACTTGATAATTATAGGAAAATTAATTTTATATATCAATCAGTTATACTGATATTCATTTATCGAATATTCCAGTATTAGGTAGAGAGACCGGAGAGGATAGATGACTCTGTGAAACCATAAGAATCCGTCACAAACAAAGTAAGGCGCGAAATTAACAAAGCCGAAACGAAAAAGCCTTAAGGCCAATCCGACGAATCTCACTTTGTTAATAACGAGATTTATGATATGATATATTAACATACGGGATGGAAGGGCTTGAGCTGCTCCCGTAATTATTAACTCTGAGAAGGTACGGAACAAGTTTTTAGGATCGCGCGACGCTACTTTCGACTCGCGGTGGAACGTCGCGTCGAAAGTGATAGTTCGCAGATGCGAGAAAGATGAGCTGCCGTGTTAATGGCCGTCTCACTCCCCTTTCGCTCTTAAGCTCATCGTTGTGATGCGATCGAAGAGAGCGACTTTCAACGCACGTGTTTTATCGATTATCTCAGTCGGAGTTTAATGCTTGAGAGATGCCGGTAGTGTATATTTATTCGTATTAACAGGCCCGCTAGCCGATGAGAGACATTACTTAACATAATTTATCCATTATATCATCCATTATAAATCATAAATAGGGCTTTTAGCTTTTATTAATCGGTTCACTTTTACGTGAAGGATGATATATTGATCAACTCGCTTTATATTAGTATTTATAATATTTTTGTGCGTATAAGTGTATTCTAAATTTTCGGTTATACATCAGATTTAGTGGAAATATAATAATATCCTATTGCTTGGTTTTTAGAAAGTATTTTGCTGTGTTGATAATTATCGTTTGCAATATTAGTGAATATATTAGTGAAATCCTATAATATTGGTGAAAAAAAAAGAAAAAAAAAATTCATTTCAACTGATACTGTCACAAGAAATTATATTTGATCGATTAAATGCTTTATTGGTATAAATAAAATCAATCATATATGTAATACAATTTAAATACTTTAGCTATGACACATCTTGGACTTGCAGTAAATATAAAAATTAATTTTTTTAATGAAGTAAATATAAAACGTTTTTAACAAATTCAATTAAATATTCATTTAATAATTAATTGCGGGTTATGTCTTTTCAATGCACGGCTTCTTAGATCACGTATATTTAAATTTAGTGTTTAGTTAAAATTTTCTCCTGTTCACTCTCTAATCATGAATATGACAAGTATATCGATGATATTTGACAATAGTGTTTTAGGAAATTTATATATTCCGGTTAATTTCAACATAGATTTCCTAGACATATTTTTAATTTTTTACAGTTTTATTTTTACGTTAATTATGAATTACTACTATATTTTTCATAGATCGAATTCTTTCAAGATTAAATTTAAATATATATATATATATATATATATATACATATATAATGCCTATTGTGATTTGATATATTGTAATGAAATAGTTTAATTAAAATACAAGCTCAGAATATATTAAAAAATTAACCTAATTTTAAGTGTACTTTTAATGTTTCTTATAAAGTACATTCGAAATCATATAGCATATAATTATAAGAAACATTCAATTAGAATGATAAATTAGAAATTAGATTAATTAAAAATTAAATTTTTGGTTCTAGTAAAAAAAATTACTCTTCATTAAACATAAACTTTTTATATTAATACATGTATTCATAGAAAACTTGGAATATCTTTAGGGTATATTGTAGATAAACATTACTTTATTATAAAATATTATTTAATTGAATTTAACATTTCGGTATATTACATTTAATGGATCATTCAATAACATTGCCTCTTTCTCACTCTTTGTCTCTCTATCTCTACCTGTCTTTCTCTCTCCCTCTGCTTATCTATCTATCTATCTTTATAATCATCTACTTATTAATATGTACAATAGAATTTAATAATTATAATATATTTTAATTACATGAATTTAGAATGGCATATTTAAATGTGAATTGGATTTTATTAATTATTGCACATAATTTTTGGATCTAAATAGGTTTGATATATGAAATTTTTTAATTTTGATACTCTTTCAAATATAACCAGATCCACTGTTTATTATACGTATGAAGCTTCACTCATATCTATACTTCTAACGTATATATATAAAATTTTGAAAACTTTTTGAATTCATGTAAATAAAATCATAATTAAGTGTTAAGTGAAAAGTAAGAAAATTTGTATAATTAGCATTGAAATTATAAGTCATAAAAAATATCGAGCACTTTCTAAATATGAGTATAATGTACTATATTACTAAAAAAAATTCAATATTTATTTAATTGAAATATACTTATATTTATGATAATATTAAAAAATGTATTATATCATATGAGTAATTAATTAATATTATTATAAATTAATCTATTAATTTATTAGTATATTATTATGTTAATAACAATTTATTATAGATATACTTCGGTTTATTCTATTAAGTTTATTAAGTTTTACAAATATGAAATTATTAAACTACTGATACATCGTAAATATACTAGCAATATATTTGTATTGAATGTATTTGTATTTAGAAAACGATAATAAAAATTAATTCATTCTCATGATTGAGAGGTAATAGACATGGAGAAGTGCGCACTCAAGTGCGAAAGTAGGCATTAAAAAATTACTATTATGTATATAAAATATCCAGGTTCACTATTTATTTATTAGGTAAATGTGCAATTTTTTCAAACCTTATAGATGCTAATTATCAGGCTAAATATGAAACAAATATTCTTCTTTTTATCAGTTCCAATCGATTCTAAGATTTTCTTTATTTTTCAAATATTCGTTTAGAATATACTCGGTTTGAATTAAATCAACCTTTTGTTTTTTTCATTAACTTATTTCACCTATTTAACATATAATTAGGTAAATTTGAATTAATATTTGAAATTATACATTGAAATAGTAATAATATTTCCTACTTATTATAGTATGCGATCGTTTATCTCTTATATTTCTCATTTTAAATTTCATAATACTAATAATGTAATACAACATTTTATATGAAAACAACAAAAATATTTCGAAACGAAGAACTTATTGTAAAAAGAATTATTTAAACTTCTCATTAAACTTTTCATTGTCGATTGATTTATAATTGCAGAAACTTGGACCAATTAAATCAGCAAAATGAAGACTACGATAGTCATATTGGCGGTCTGCTTAGGTGCTGCATTAGTGAACTCACTGCCCATTGCTAAAGAAGGATTTCAATCGAAGGTAAGCTATATTATTTAGAGGCAATATAGTATTGCGTTATTGTCTAATGATAGTCTTGACATTTCTTCGTAATTTCTAAGATCAAACTAAACCATTTAAGGCACGCAAACAAGACATTATGTAGCTGCGCAATTACAGTTAGGATTGCCATTTACGTAATGTGATATTCAAGCAAAGTGACATAGCTGATTAACTTCTCTTAACATTTTTTCTACTTTGATATTATGCTTGTTATTCTATAGAATAATCATATGAGATAAATAGATAATATATAAATCAGAATAACAGAGTGTAATATCAATATTTTAGATATTATTTCAAATTCTTTTATATACGTGTAAATACATAGCCATTTAATAAATAAATCAAGTTTACATAGGTTCTGCGTTATTTTAAAATTTTTCATTATTCAAGAAGAAGGTATAAAATTTCATTTTCATATAATACTTTCATTTTCAGCTGCGTAAGAGTAAACTCTGAACTTTAACGCCAGCAAAATAACTTTCACCGTGCCTTTTGAATTATTTCGATACACAATATTCTTATTCGAGTTGATAATGTATTCATAATGTTTTTAGTGGAATCGATAATTTATTCAAGAATAAACTTATTCGTTTTCCGGTCCTCTCAAATTCTTTACTAAACATATAAATGTAATAAATATTCTTTAAATGAACATCGGATGTTTATTTAAAAGAGAATTTAAATATTTTAAAACTTTAATCATTGATAATAAAGAAAAATAACAATTAAAATTATTTCGAAAAAATATATATTAATGTTTTAATATAAAAATTAATTGTCAAACAATTTTCTAAAGTAAATAGATGATCAAAAATATATAAATAAATTTATTTAAAAATTAGAAATCTACATATTTAGATGATTTAAAAAATTAGATATATAGAAAACATTTTTAAAATAGGATGAGAACCCAATCAGTAACCTTTTATTACTAAGTACACAAGCCGTTACGCAGATACACTAATACGATGATTAAATTATGTTACTATTTGCAGTAACAAATAAATTGATTATAATGAAAAATAATTTTTATTTTTATTAAAAAAAAATATTTTTTTTTTTTTTTTTTTTTTTTTTTTTTTAATAATTTAATAAATCCCATTAGCGTCGCAAATATGAACTTCAATATTATATTATTGAGCATTTTGAATAAAATTAAATATACGAAATTGAATTGATAATATGACAGTATAATAAATCATTATTTATTATGGTAAAGAAGAAGATTTATATATTGAATGATTCCGTATTTTCACAAAAGTTCCCGAAAATAAGATTGTTATTAAAATAATTTTAATATTAACATTTCAATTCGTGTAATTTACATTAAAATTTGCAAAAACTAAAATTTACAAAGACATATATTGAATTTTTCCGAATACTTTTCACGAATATTATTCATATAATAACAAAGTAATTAAAAAAACTCTATTGTAAGAATGTCATTTGACCATTAATATACTAAGTTGTTAAATGATTATTCTTAATAAGATGCAAGTATAATCGTCAAAATGTTAAGCAGTGCAAATAAAAATTAAGTCTTTAAGATATAATCTGATTTCTAATTCTAATTTTATGTTTTTCTTTTTTTTTTTTAACTGCTTATCACATGCCATACTTTAAATTTTCTGAAACACATTAGTATAATAGATTAAATAAGAAATCAGGTAATATCAATTATTACATTGAAGTATATTGTAGCCATGGTTATATTAAAATATTAAATGAATTTTTATTTATCTGAGTTTATATCATCCATTTGTATTAATGTATTATTTAAATAAATCATGAAATTTATTTGAACATATCGGCTAGCGATAAAGGAAATAAACAGTAAGAATTTTAAATAAAAAAGGGAATTGATTCTGTAATTATAGTAAGTTCTAAATAATAAACATTCAAGAAGTAAAAGTTTACGTAACATAGAAAATGCGTATTTCTTCCTATTTGCCGTTTCGGTGAGACTCTCCGCGTTTTTTTTTCTTTTTAGCCTTCTCCCACTTTTTTTCTTCTTACATCGCATAGAAATTTCTTGTGACCGTGAATTATCTTATGAAAGGCTTAGAAATACTTGAATATTCAATTTTGTAAATATTTGTCTCATTAATAGTATTAGTTTTTAATATATATATATATATATATATATATATATATATATATATATGTTTTTGGATAAGTATGATCATTTGGCAAGTTTCATCCGTTTAAAAAATATAATCGGAATAACATTTATAAAATTTATAATTATAAAATATTTATAATTCTATTCATTTGTTTTTTTTCTTTAAATAATGAAGAATTATTAATTAATAATAACTAGTTTAAATTTAGAATTAAAAATTATTTATGAAATTGCGATTTGATCAGAGTTTAAATAAATCAGATAATAATAAAAAAAAATTTATTGATGGAAATTATACTTTTTTATTATTTACCAGTGAAATCACATTTATAGTTTAATATAAGCTATTACAAATTCAATTGAATTTTTTTAATCATATAAATAGAGTGTACTTTTATTATATAAATATAGTTCTTATTTGTTTTTTTTTTTTTAATATAATACAGATATTTATTTATAAAATCGCAGTCAACAAATTTTAATTTTTAAAAAAAATTTACAGAAATTTCAGTTTTTTGATTAATCAACGAAATCAATAAATACGTAAAAATTACATAAAGTAACTTAATCTTTTAATTTTATAGTCTTTCTTTTTTAGATTCTTTGAAACTTATATGAAATTGATAAAAAATAAATTTTTAGACGTTCATCTAATTCTAATTAAGATTATTAGCAATGTTTTTTTGATTATTAAATTTTCTTAAACAAACAAGAAAATGCTAGTAAGCTTAGTAAGTATTTTTTTTTTCTTTTTGATATCTAATATTAAAATAAACAACGGATGGAATGTATCTTTTATCTCGAATAAGCTGCTTGTTTATCTATATATTAATAGATTATGAATATTCGTTTTTACAGAATTATAAAAGATGAAAAATTTTTTAATATATTTCAAAATAATTTAGTTAAAGTATTTACAATTAAATATATTTAAAATATTTCATGCTAAAATTGTAATAACAAATGATGCATTAGAAAAAGAGGTTTATGTTTTTTGTATAATACAAAAATAATTGATAATATTCATACAGGTATTTAATAAATGAATGTAATACAAATTGTTTTAGACTATTAATTTTATTTAAAATATTTAAATAAAATTTTTTTAATATGAATATTATTTATATAATACGATATTTTTATATCGATTATCTATTTTTTTTAAAAAAAAAAAAAAAAAAAATTTCTCATGACCACAATTTAATTCATAGAACAATTAATTTATAGTAACTTTAACTTAATTTACTGTAACCCTTGACTCTAAAATTCCCGCATACAACCTATGCTCATCTTAAACTATCGGGATCAAGATCGCTTCCCGGTAGTAAAACTTTCTTTCCTAGATAAACGTGTCGATTGCTCTTGCAGAATGTGGAAAGAGGAAGGTAGATGGCGGATGGGCGTTGACATGAATTTTTACATAATCATAATCCAGTACTCGGGATACCCGAACGAAATAACATTGAGCAGAGCATCGTTTAGCATTTTGTGAAAATTGGTGCTTAATTAAAAGATGTTAAAGCGACTAACGTCTCATCTATTCATACGCCTAACATCTCCGGTGAATTCATACGTAAGCATATAAACGTCGACCTTCTCGACACTTTCACTGGTGGCCAAACGAACCGACTCGGACACTTTCTTCGATCGTCCGGTACCCAATGGAAAGTGTGCATGTGTCTCTGCCTGCACGTACGCAGTAGTGTGCACAACTGTGTGCGTATGCGATAGATAAATCATTAGTGGTTAAAAGGTCAACGTCATTATACGTGTACTGACTGTAAAAGTAAAACGAGGAGAAACACGATAGAGTGAATGATGAAAAATGCAACTCAATTGTTCATGTGAACTCTTATCGAGTGTATATTTCATAGTAATCATCGGTAAATTCAAACCGTTCATAACTGATTTTATTTAAATATGTACCAATTATAAAGAGAGCTGGAATTATTTTTAAAAGCTACATACCAAAATACAAAATAATTTTGTAATAATTTGAAATATAAATTTATCGTATTTACTATAAAATTAACATAAAATTAACATAAAATTATCCTTTACTAAAAGTACTGTCATTTTATATGCATTTATGTGGCATGCGGGAATAAAATATTATTGAATTTTTTAATTTAGAACATATGTTATAAAAAAAAAAGTATGTATTTTCATGATTCTATAAAAATGGTAAAAATATCGTAAGATATTCTTTCTTTAAGATATTATATATTCTATAAGATATATATTTATTATATATTTTTTCTTTACATGGATATTTTATTATATATTTCTATAAAAAATATATTAATTATATTAATGATATAGAATCATATATGCTAGAAAAATTTCTTGTAAAACTGTTGAAAATTTTAATTTTTAATATTATTCATACAGAAAAAAAGGCCTCTAGTAGCACAATCAAAAGAGTAGTGTTAAAATTGTTTTTGTTAAAAGAAAATGGAAATGAAATTTATTTATAATTAATTACAAAATCATTGTGAGGCTTTTAATCATTCTTTTATGAAAAACTTTTTAAATATTGTTACTGAGTTACTGAGAATTCACAGGTCCTCGAAATTATTAAACATTTTCATTTGATAAACCCAATAATAAGCTTATATTAAACAGACACACACACACACGCGCGCGCGCACGCACTCACACACATAAAACATATACAATAATTGAAATGAAAATAACATAACTTTAAAGATGTGACTTATAATAAGAACAAAAAATTTTTTAATGATAATAAATAATTGACATTATTAGTAAGTATTAATAAATAAAATCCGTATTATGTATGTAATGATTCGAAGTAAAACTCAATGTATTATACGGAATTTTATAGACTAAT